AGAGTCTCATACATAGAAAGTGAAAGTTACAGTTTTCATGTGAGAAAAAGAGAATTTCCCTTAAAGAAATTCTGCTGCAATTTAAGGATATGTGGCATTTCCTAAAAACAGACAAAGCTGAGTGGTACAGCGGAGGCCTATGAAAATACAGGACCAGCTGTGCGTCCTCCTCCCTCCTCCACAGACTCCTCACACTTTCCCATGTGGTTTCAGACAGTCCCACAGCTCCCCATTCTGCTCCCCACACACACAGAATCCTATTCCACTGCACACCTGCTATTTCCACCTAGGTGGCCAGCAAGCCCCTCCCACTTAACACTGTCGGAACAGGCCCCTTGGCTTTGTTCTATGTACTCTTCTCACACATCCACATTTTGGTACAGGCAACACTCCTTGTCAACAGCACTGCGGGGGGCTGGGGATTTAGCTCAGCGGCAAAAGCGCCTTCCTGGCAAGCGCAAGGTCGTGAGTTCGGTTCCCGGTACCGGAGAAAAACCAAAAAAAAAAAACAAACAAAAACAGCACTGCGGTCAGGAACCCAGAGTGTAACGGCAGATGGGTCCTGAAACCCTGCCTATTCCCTGCTCCCCTGCGCAGGCACACAGTAAAGCTCGGAGTGGTAACAGTGCTGCCACACGGCTGCTAGAAACATGGAATGTGCTTACCTAAGGCATTTAGAGCAGCGCTTGGAAAATATTAACTTGCTGTTAGGCATCAGCTACTACTGTCATCACCATCACCGCTCTGATCACTCCTTCCCCTCACACCAGTCTACACTTATGAAATCTAGCTGAACCCCACTGGCTGTGAACTGTTCCCTCCACTGTCTCCGTCTCAGGCCTAGATCAATGTGGTAAACTTCCAAACTAGTCCTCCCACTGCCATTCCTTCCTTACCCTCCAAAGAGGTTTTCGGGCAGCAACCACGGTAATCTACTTAAAACCTAGTCAGGGAGGCCTGGTGATGCACACTGTAATGCCAGCACTCTGCAAGGCCAAGGCAGAAGAGCAAATTCCGGCCCAGTTGGAAAACTGTCTCGAAATGAAAACCTTTTTTTTTGTTTGTTTTTTTTCTGGTACTGGGAATCGAACTTACGACCTTGCACTTGCCAGGCAGGCGCTGTGCCACTGAGCTAAATCCCCAGCCCCTATAAAAAACATTTTTAAAAGGCTGGGGATCAACTCAGTGCAAAGGCCCTGTGTTCAATCCATGCTACAGGGAGGCATAAATCTGATCACATCATTCCCTTACTCAAAAGCATCCCCTTGCTTTCCACTACAGTAAGCTTTTCTTCTTTCTTCTTTTTCTTTTCCTTTTCCTTTTCTTTTTCTCTTTTTCAGCAAGGTCTTGTATGTAGCCCCAGCTGGCCTAGAACTCACAGCAATCCTCCTGCCTCAGCCCCTCAAGTGCTGGGATTACAAGCATGCGCCACCGCACCCAGCTCTACCACATTAAGCTTTAAAAAAATTAAATAAAATGAACTCCTTTACCGTGATTTATTCCAAGTCCTAGAAAGTCCTACACTAAGCCAGTAAAACCTCATCTTAGGCCATTTCTCTAGCTTATAACACTCCAGCAACACTGGTCTTCTTATTCTGAAAAATGCCAAAGTTCCCTCTTTGGGACCTTTACATGAGTGACATTCCCCTGCCTAGAAGGCACTTTCCTCTATATTTGTTCAGCTGACTCCTTCACATCACATATAATATGGTTATTATTTATATCTTCGATAATTTTCTATTTTCTCCTACTATAAGTGAAGATAGCACTTGTCTTAAGTACTGTATCCCTCATACACAAAACAATGCACAGATGAAGAAACAGTCATTTAAAAATAAATCATTAAATGCAAGAATAGCTATACCTTGTAAGACACTCACATATGTGAAGCATAAAAATCCTTTCTCAATTCTTTTCCCTACCTGCTTATCAATCTATTGTGTCATCCCTCCAAATTCACCCTTTGCCTATAACTGGACCTTTCAATATCTTCTCAGAGTTTGAGGATCTAAATTCTCAATTATCCAGCTCCTTACACCAGCACAGTCACCAAGAGGCCCTAAAAACCACAAGCAGAAAGTCTTAGATCTAGTCATCACTCCAGCATTACTAACCAGCATAACCCTGGACAAATGACCGAGCCTGTCCAACCTGCCTTCTCCTCATCTGTGTGCAGCAGACCACAGTCCTTTCTGTTTTGGAGCTTTGCAGTGAGGTGAAGATGAGAGATGCATAAACCGCTAATCACAGACAAAAGAAACTTCATACTTTCACACAGGATCTATCAGTGCAAAGAATTTCACTGAGCACTGACCCTACATGCCACATGCTACACTAGATAGAACATTTGAATTAACACAGAGCCCTTGCTCTTGGAGCTTATATTTTAGTTAGGAAAAAAACACATCATGAGAATAGTTTCATCATAATTTGGAGTGTGCAGAATTCTGTGGGAGCACAAAAGGCACACACAACACAACCTTGGGACTTCAGGAAGGCTTCCTAGGGAAGGTGGGCCACAGCTGAGATTCAATGGGTCTGTAGGGTAAAGACAGTTCAGATCAAAGGAGAAGGTAATGTCAAAATTTTAAGTCTTAAAGCATTTCCAAAACCCAGATAAGCTGCATTATAAAAATCACACAATCACTGGTTAAGAACAAGCTTTCAGACACCACCTGGAATTAAATTCTTCTATCAATTTATAGCTTTTCCCTCTACCACAAATTTCAACCTCTACCACAAATTAAAATACTGTTTTAAAATCTACTTTAGGGTACTTTTTCTCATCCTACAAGACTATTTCCATTTATAAAGCTGAAAATTTTCAGTTACATACGCCAAGGTCAAAGCCTCCACCACCAGAAAGAACAGCAATAAAGAGCCTACAGCAGTAAGTTAAGATTTCTACTTCTCAACAATGCTAAAAGAAACTCCTTCCCTTCTTTCTTGCCCTTTCCTCAGCTTTCAAGACAGATCCCCAAGGAAGAGAGGACTCCACCTTCTCTCCTTCATGATAAGGCACAGGTCTCCCTAGATCTTCTCTCGGTTAGGTCTGGCCCTGACACACAAGGGGAAAAGCCAAGTACTGCCTAAGACCACAAGTCACTCTACTCTACTACCAAGTCCACAACCCTGAGACCAGAAAGCTGCACAACACACCAGTAAGCAGGGCAAACTCATTTAAGGAAAATCTGACTCCACTAAAACAGAACACTGTCTCCCTATCCTACAATTCCACTAGACATATGGCCAGCAGAGACACATTTGCCCAAAGATGGACTAGACTGTTCTGAGCAGCAGTACTAGTAATAATTAAAAAGAAAGAAAAGTCCAAATGCCTGTCAACAATAGAATGAGTAAATAAATGCTGATAATCTCAAGGAGAATTAGAATGAATCACCACTTTATAGACCACAAAAAATAACACAGCATTCTTGTCTATGATATTCTCACTAAAGATGCGTAACTTGAAGACTAACCTACAATCTTCAAAAATAACCAAGCCCAGGCCGGGCATGATGGTACACGCCTGTAATGCCGGCACTCGAGAGACTGAGGCAGGAGGATCGTTGAGAGTTTGAGGCCAGCCTGGGCTACAAAGTGAGCTCAAGGTCAGCCTGAACTGCATAGTGAGACCCTGTCTCAAAAAGACAAAACAAAAACAAAAACAAAAAAAAGCCCATGAAAGTCAAGGAGAAACAAAGAATTTGTTCAAGCCTGCAGAAGGCTAAAGAGACTTGACAACTTAGTAACATCTGTGACTGCTTTGGAGTCTTTTGAAATAAAGGACAGGACTAAGACAACTGGTGAAATGTGAATTTAGTCTGAGAATTAGATGATATTAACCTATCAATATTAATTTTTTTATTTTGATAATTAAATTATTTTTCCCTAGCATGTGCGAGGCCCTAGGTTCAATATATAAATACACACACAGTTAAACACCTATTAGGTATTTTCACACATTGCCTCATTTAACAAAAACAGTTAATGTCTTAGACCTCCTGCTGATATAAATGGATGATATGTTTAAGTAACCCCACAAAGTCAATAAAAATTATTTAGACCAGAAAATACTACAACTTTAACTCGAGGATATGAATACATAATAATCAGCATAAAAATCATTATACTTTGAAGTCCTCTCCCATGTTAAGTGCAAAAAAGTAGTTTAAAAAAAAAAAACTAGACCTAGATTAAAGAACAACCGTACAAAATGTGTTTAGTTTTGGAGTCGTGTTTTCATCAACTGCTTCATATGTATTAATCCTTCACTTGATCAGCACAGCTACCTCCCGTTTCACAAGGCAGTGGGCTGTTTAATCCAGTATTTGCATGGCCTTGTTTTCATAGCTAGACCTTCTTCTAACTATAGGGGTACAGCTCCATGGTAGAGTACATACTTTCCCTTGCATGTGTGAGGCCCTAGGTTCAATGCCCAGCACCACAAGAAAATGAAGAAGATAAAGGTTTTCTTCTATATTGCCCTCTGAGTAGAGGATAGGATATAAAATTAGGATATAAAATCCTAATTCAGAACACAAATTCAGGGACTATATACACCAAAGACCACACTGCCTGTTAAAAGCCATATGTGAAGTCCAGCTCCATGGAAAACAGACAAGAGCTTGAAATCCACAGAGGCCATTCACAAAATTAATCAGCTCATCGCTAACACTGTAGAAGATGGAAAGGTTTGAAAACCAACCACTATACAGTGTAAATATTAACAAATAAAACTCGAGGTATAGGGGGCTGGGGATTTAGCTCAGCGGCAAAGCGCCTGCCTGGCAAGTGCAAGGTCGTGAGTTCGGTTCCCGGTACTGGAGAAAAACCAAAAAAAAAAAAAAAAAAAAAAAAAAAACTCGAGGTATTCTGGAATTAAGAGAATAGCACAAGCAATGAACATTAAATTAACTTATTCCCTAAAGAAAACAGAACAAAACTTCCAAGCGTACATAACTGAAAGTGTGAAAGTGGAAATGAAGTGAAATACTTACTGCCAAAGCCTTGGACAACTTTGCTCTAAATTCATTGAGGATAATTGCTACAATGTCCTTAAGTGGCACATAAGCAAAACCATCTTCCAAGTAGACTCTCCTTCCTCGGAACAAATCCAGAGCATCAGCAAAAGGGATCTGAATTCAGATGAAACAGTAAAAGTTAAGTCAACACCTGTAATGATGAAATGCTCCTAGCCTTCATAAATAGTAAGTCTAAACAAAGAAATTCATTAGTCCCAGCAAATTCAAAACACCCAAAAAGACCAATTTATATTTCTTACAACCCCGTATCAAAATTTTAAAAAATAACTAAAAACAGGACTAGGGATGTAGCTCATTGTGAAAGCCCTGGGTTCAGTACCCAGTACTGAAAAAATAAGCAAAACAAACAAACAAATAAATGGTAAACACCAAAATGTTTATAAGTAAAAGAAAAAACTAAACTATTAGTATTAAGAAGTCATAGCAGTATAAAATTTTGTTTCAGACTAGCTATTTCAATAATAATAATAATAATAACAACAAATAGATGTTATTATCTGGACCTAAAATGTCCCCCAAAAAGTTCATGTGTTCAACAGTTCAGATTTTGAAAGGTGACTGGATCACGAGGTATCTAACTTCATCAGTGGACTAATCCATGGATGAATTCATAATCTGATGACACCATTGGGAGGACATGGAAACTCAGGCAGTAAAGACTAGTTGAAGGGCTGGGTCATGGGGATATGTCATCGGGTGAATGTACTATACCTTGTTACTATACCTTGTTACTATACCTTGTCCTTTGTCCCTTCCTCTTAGGCCCTTGCTCTCTTTCTACCTCCTGTCTACCGTGAGCTTAGTCCCACTGCTCCACCACTAACATGGTGTTTTGCCTTATCATGGCCCAGAAGCAACGGAAGCACACAAACATGGACTGAATCCTCTGAAATCCTGAGCCAAAATAAACCTCTTTCTAAATATTACGCTTAGATATTTTGTCACAGTGACAGAAAGTTGACTAACACAAATTAGAATGCTTCCATTTTATCATAACCTATGAATTTACAAATTGCAATGCTCAGGATTTCAAATTCATAATTCAAAACTTCTAAGCATGTTACATTCACCTCATAGACATATTCCACATTTTATTCTGCACTGAATAAAATCCTACTTTGTATATAACATATTCAGTGCTAAAAATTACTTTTAGCAAAGTAACTTCAAATTTCTTTATCTACATATCCATTTTTTTCTCTAGAGAAATATATTGGAAAAACTAACCTTAACACTAAGAAATGGAACTATAGTAGTACCTCAGTTCACAAATGCTTCTGTTTGCAGACAATTCCATTCGCAAACAAAAGCATTCTGCAAAATTTTGCTTTGATTCACAAACTCCACATCAGGTGACAATGACGACCGTGGCCATCTTCCCCAAGGAACAAATCAAGTTAGTGAACCGAGGTACCACCATAATAAGCATTCAGGTTTGCTATTAAAATAATTTTTTGCTATAAATACTATTTGTACTTAAAAAATAAAACTTAGGTTTTTTAAGTGTATGAAAATTTAAGGATTAGCAGAATATATTAATTACATATTGCAAAATATATATTTAATATATTATTAAGTGTGGAAAATTATCCTCAGTCTTTTCTCTTTTTAAAGTGAGACAAATCAGGTAAAAACCCATTTCCCCAATAAAATCCCCAAATTGCCTCTTCACCCATGTTTTAGGGAAAAGTCACATACAATTCTGTATCTGAAAACACCTCACATATAAACAGATCACATTTTTTTCACCAGGTAGCTTTTGATAAAAGTACTCATTTCTATAACCACAACAGTCTTTGCCCTCAAGGAGTTCATCTCTTAGGAGAGAACAGCAAAAGACACAACATGGAAAGCTAAACAGCCTACAGAGTAGCACCACAGACGACTGCACCAACAGGTAGATTAACAGCACATACAAGAGGAATAAGTAAGAGAGTTTAGAGCAAGCAGTAACACAGCCAAGAGGGCACAAAAGTTTGCAAATAAGAGTTTTACTCCAAGTCTAAAATCCAGTCTAGTCTACTACTGACTAGATTTATGACTTAGCAAATTTAATAAGTGTCTCTAAACCTCAGTAGCTGAATTCATAAAACTGGGAGAGAGGACGAATAGATGAACTAAATGATCCTTACAGGCTCTTTAGCTTACTATTCCATGAGGCTAGCTTACTGGGATGGTCACAATGGAAATAAAAATGCCCAAGTAGAAGCAAAACGATGATGTGAAGGCAAAGTAACGGGAAATGTGTGATATGGGAGGAATAAATATTGATTCCCATACTCCAAGCTTGAAAGGCTGACTGAATGATGGCCCAACAGGTAGAAATAGGGAAGCTGGAATTAGGAGCTAATGTGGAGGCCCAATTTTCAACTACTGGCACTCAACAGTGATGATTAGCATCTTCTTTCAAAGGGAACTGTGGGGTTGCAGTTATCAAATTTTAAATTGAATCTCAGCTCTCTCCTCTTACCCTCAGGACTATCATTCCAAAGGCCATTTGGTGGGGTTAATACAAAGTAAGTGTCTATACTGAGAGAAGGGGGAAGCCAAGGTGGTCCAGCACAAAGGAAGCTAACTCTGAGTACAGGAAGGAAGGCACTTCCACAGGGAAGCAAGTGGGCTCGAGAGGGCCAGAGCCCACATGGGATTCCAGAGAGACCACAAGAGGAAGCAGCCCAAAGCATGTGTCAAACCCCACAGCAGCAATGGCAGCAATTCAACCACAATGCTGCACCCATCAGGAGGTGAAGATGCCCTGCAGGAGATAGCCTTATGCCAAGTATGAGAGCCTAAGCAATCAAGGAGCACTTTCACTTAGTACTTCATTTTAGTTTTGCTTATTGCAGTGTTGGAGATCAAATTCAGGGCCTTGCACGTGACAGCCAAGAACTCTACCACTGAGTTACATCCCCAGCCCAACACTATTCCTTTAACAGAATGCCTGCAGAGGGGTTTGAGCCCCAGCAGAATTAGGAAGGAGTCTGTGTCTGGAAGACCAAGACGAGCACTGAATGTTGGCACAGGATGAGGACATGATCTGCGCAGGAGAGGGACTAGCTACGAGGATGAGGGGCTATACCAGGGGGTTGGTCAAATTTGCATATAAACCTCAATGTAACAAATGTAGCAAATCCTAGAAAATACTTTACACATTTACATACCTTATACACTGATTCAAATTCCAACTGAGTACCACTTAAACTCGGTGAGGAGGCAATAATGTCCGGCTCTCGTTGACTCTTCTCATCATCACTTATCTAAAAGGAACCATATCATACAATTGCAAACATTAAGTGTGCATTCAGTTTCCATGAAATGTTTCCTGTCCTTGTGAACATTCTACACTTTCATAAAAAAAGTCAATATCCTGATAACTCAAATTATTCCTAATATGATTAATGAATCATTATTATCACTAAGGAAGGCAAAATATGGAAGAAAATCTAAATTCAATATTCTTTCAAATTTTTACTCTGACAGTTTCTGAAAAATAAATATATATCAAAAGAAAAATAGCAGACAAAGTAGTATACAGAGAAAAAAATTATAATTCAAGTTAATATGGACTAAAAATGAATATTATCCCAATTCAAGAGTTATATATGAAAATATCTACTTGAGGTTATGAGTGGTTTAATTATTTCTCAATTTCCTAGCCACATATGACAACTCCAAATTTAAAATATCAGTTTTTCTAGGAAAAACTGCAAATGTAATATCTTAAATTGATTATGGCTTTATAAAAGACTATAGGTCTGACTGTATAAAAAGTTTATACTTTTACACACAAAAAAAAAATCTAAAGATAAAATGTAATTGACCAACTGAGGGAAACATTCACCTCATCTGACATCTGAGTTACTCTCGGTAAGCCCCTAGGTAGTAGTACATAAGGACTAATAACCAAAAAATAGTAAAACAGGAACACCACTATTTATGAGTAAAATAGTAAATATGTTATCAGAGTCTGAGGCCAGGGCCTGACTCCGGCAATACCAGGTCCAGTTAACACAGAGAAAAGCAGTGGCGATGCAGGGGAGGAGTTTACTTTTATTCTGCCCAAACCAGGAAGGCGTCCAGCCCAGAAAACAGCCTTCCCTGACTGACAACAGCTTCAGGGTTGCACAGAGGAGGCAGCAAGGTGGGGAGTCAAGAGGCAGGCGCAGGCACAGACACTTGCCCAGCTGCGGGGCCTAGAGTGGGCTCTGGGGCTCCTCCTGGCACCAGGCCGCAGGTGAGAAGGTGCCACTTTCCTGAAGAAGGTAACTGCTGTAGGAAAGTGGGATGGAAAAATTCCCCCAGTTTTAAAAGACCCCTTGTTACAGTAAATTAAAATAATAACATTGTACTTAAATAGGTCAGGGGCCCTTGAAGGGACAGAGACAGGGGTTCTCAGGCCCCATCAAAGGTAAAGTACATCTTTTTCAGGCTGAGGATATAGCTCAGCAGCACAGTACCTGCCTGGCAAGCACAAGGTTCTGAGTTTGATCCCCAGTACCAAAAAAAAAAAAAAAATGGGTATGTCTTTTTCCCTATCCTCCCACCACAATCTCCAAGGATGAAAACAACCACTGATTCAAACCTTACACTGGGAAGAAACTCCTTAAAACACACATAAGGAGTTTCTAAAACATTCCACTAGTGAGCCAGTATCAAATTACCCTAGCCCACTCCAAAGGTGCCATAAAATCGAGTCCAGCTCTTTTACTAACAGACCAGTTTGATCTTCAGCTCTTGGGGCACAGATTAAAGCTCCAAGGAGCTTAGGCACCCAAGCCCTATGGCACTGCCAGTTGTAGCCCTCAGGGCCTCTCTCTTGAGGTGGTACTGCTCACTGCCTGCAGCTTTTCTCAGCAGACATTCCATGTTCCAGGCTTCTCCAACTTCCTGGGGTCTCCACTGCACCTTCTACTTCACTCTCAAGGCTTCACATACTGCCCGCTCAGGAACACTGTCTCACCTCCCACACCTTCTTCTGAAATATGGGTAGAAGCCTCCCTAACCCCACAACTCTTCCACCCTGCATGTGAGTAAAACCAGCACCATGCGGACACTGCCAAGATCTGCCACCAGCTTGAGCAGTAGCCAGGCCCCCCTGAATCATGACTGCAGACCTGAATGCCTGGATGGTGGAACACTATGAATGGCATCCCAAGAACCAATTTCCTAAGTGGCCCTTTGTGAACAGGGTATCCTAGTGTCACAGATAGCTAAGTTAGGTAAAGACTGACAGGCAATTTGAAAGAGATTAGGCCCAAAACAGAACAGAGAAGAGGCAAACCAGGTCTGTGGTCAAGGCCTAAATTGACAGAAGCTAAGCCCCAAGATGATACCATGGCTAGGCCTGCCGCCTCCTTAGAGAACAGCTCAAAGCTATACTGTAATGAGCACCATTTGGCCCAGTAAGCCTAAACAATACCACAAACATGCAGAAAGAACATAACAAACATGTAGAGAGATGACCAGAACACTCTGAACCTCCCTCCTACCCCTTCCAGAAGCACATTTTTCCTTCTCAATGCTACATACCCTGGCTATGTACCTTGTTTTTCTTTTACATCAATATCAGATGAGTAACTGTACTTGTAATCCTATAGGCTGATTGTAGTCTGATGAAAGGTAACTGTACTGTATAGAAACCCCCTAGACAAACAGCTTTAGTGGCAACCGTCTTTCAAGACTCCTCCTGTCTCTCAGGAGCTTTCTCTTAATGAAATTTTCCTACTCTTAACCTCCTTTATACTCAAGCCTGTTCTTTGAAGTTGTGAGACACAGGAACTCAGCACACCTATCTTCCCTACCATAGGGCTCTCTACAAATGAAAGCTCTACACAGTTTTGCACCCTTGGGCCTGCAATGGTTGGAGTCTGATGGATCTCTCAGATGTCCTCATGTCATCTTTCTTGTTTTTCTGATGCAAAATACTTACCTTCTTTTTAATGCTAATCTTTTAGCCAACCAAGCTCTCCTCAAGGCAAAACTTTTACAGCATCTGTGCTTTCTTTCCGGACACACGCAAATTTTTTCAAATTACAGAGCTCTGCATTTTGGCCCTACTTCCCAATGTAGATATGACTAAAATCCACCAGCAGTACCAATGCCACTGGGCTGCCTTGAGATTTCTTCTGCCAAATTAGTCTGCCAGCATAATCTCAATTTCCAGCAAAGTCTCAGGCATGAGTAAAATGCAGACAAATTTTCTACCAGAGCATAACATACATGGTCTTGAGTATAACACACATGGTCTTGAGTCTGACAACTGCCAATGGAATTCTTGTTCCCAGTTGAAGCCTCTTAAGCTTGGGCTTTACTGCCTGCATTTTTTAATCTGCATTGTGATCTAAGCTCTGATCAGAATCTCCATTAAGTTCAGTTTACAGCATTCTAGGGCTTCTCCAGTCAGCATCCCCAAACCTTTCCAAACTTGTCCCATGAACCACTTCCAAAGGCTTCTAAATCACACGGTTAGGTAGTCAGGGTAGCAATCCCACTCCTGGCACCAAAATCTGTCTTATTCACTTTCTCATCACTGGGACATAGTACCCAACCCAGCCTCAGATAGGTAATTAGCAATGCTTTCAGAAGTAAAAATGCATTCAGAGACAAGGGAGGAAAACTATTCCGTATCAAAAGGGAGTTACCTTTGTCAATCTTACCAAAAAAAAGGTAAGCAGGACCACATACAGAGAAAGGGTTTTTATGTATGGCTGCTTAAAAGCAAAAGCCTTCCAGAGCTATTAGATACCACTTGACTCCCCTTTGTATTCATCTCCACAGTGGTACCTTTTTTAGGTTCAAAGCATCTGGCTCTTTTTATTTATGCTCCAGGTACTTTTGATGGAATCTATTCACCAATCCATCAATAAATAGCTAGAGGATACCACACCCAAGTCCCTCAAGATTAAGAAATGGACTAAGCCAGGGGAAATGATAAGCAAGACCTTAAAATGGATCTTTAAAATGAGCTACTTCTCCAGCTTCCTCATAGGAAGAAAAAACTTTCATCCCCAGCCCTGGCACCCAGGACACCAAGAAATATTAAAAACTAGATTTTTTAACATTTTCTAGATCTTTTGGTGGGCTCAAGTCTGGTTCAATTTACATATGCATATTTCCTAGCTTTTATTTTACCTGTTCTGTAAATTGGAGTATTTCTGTGCATGGGGGGAAGGCAAAGTAGTTGCCCTTCCAATTTCGCCAAATTGTGAATAAATTCATTTTTCCATTTTTGTGGATACTCTTGATGGTGAGTGGGCAAACAAATTCAGATAGTTGGGGCCCAGAATATGGTGGAGCCCACAGTAACATATGGATTGGAAAAGAAGACATAAACTGTCATTATCCACAGATTATGAATAGGACTCTTAGAAAATACAGAAGAATACCAAAGAACAGATAAACTACTAGAACTACTAGTCAAATTAAGCAAGGTTTCTAAATTTAGACACAGAAAATTCTATTTCTATACACCATCAACAAAATCCAATAATAGGCTTTTAAAGCTAATTTACAACAAAATCAAAAGTATTATCTAAAATTAAATATCATGAAAGCTGTAGGTTTCCACAAAGAAACTATAAAACTTTACTGAAAAAACACAGTTCTACACACTGTGCATAAACCTTACAAACAGATTAAGCTGAGTAATACAGAAAACAACATACCAAATCACTCCATGTATATAGAGCTTTGTTTTGATAAGGAAAAACTCACCATTTAGGGATGAATATTCAGTCAATATTTCAGTCAACTAAAGAGGGAAAAAGGACGAGGAAATGATCTGCCATAAAGCCAGACAAGTGACTTCCTCTAAGAGACAGAAGAGAAAGGCACACAGAGAGGATTCAGGGAAAGCAATGCTTCATTTCCTCTCCTGGGTGACAGTTAGGTTAATATTCACTTCATACTTAATTACACATTTTTGTTTGCTCTAAGTTCTCTGGACATGCATTATACTTACTAATTTTAAAAGGTTTAAAAGAGAACTAAAGGGCCACGAATATAGCTCAGTGGCATAAGCACTTGCCTGGCAAGCCTGAGGTCATGAGTTCGATTCCCAGTACAAAAAAAAAGAGAGAACTAAAAGTAAATGAACTATGCTATAACATGAAATATTATGTAGCCAATAAAATTTCTTTTAAAATTAAGGAGATTTATGATTATTGTCATAGACATCCATGAAACACTACTACCTGAAGACAAATTATTACAATTAGATAAAGGAAAATTAAATCCTTAAAGAGCATACACTGTTAAA